AGCCTGCCCCGCGGAGGACGGGGCGTCCCGGGGGGAGACGTGGGGGTCCGTCCTTAAATCAACGCCGGTTCAGCCCGTTGCCGGGCCCCGGGGCCCCGCTGCTACCGGCGGGCTCGCCCCCCTCTCCCCGCCGAGCCGCCCCGGGGCCTCGCAGCAGGTGTAAACGCCGGTAACAAACCCGTTCCCCGGCTGCAAATGGCCCCGTTTGAACCGGCACCCCCAAGGGGCCAGAGACTGCGGTCTCTAGCTGCCGAGGGCAAACCGGGGGGGAGCTGTCAGGCTCCGGGGGGGGCGGCCTTAAGCCCGTCCCGGGGGTACCCACCAGCCTGCAGCAGGTCGCCGGGGCGGCTGCGGGGACACCCGCGACACGGCGAGCCCCGGGGTGTGCCGGGGCTTGGGCGCTCTCCCCGCTGCCTGGAGCCCCGCGGGGGGGGGACGGGGGGGACATGGTGTTTCCTCTCGCTTCCAGCTTTTCTTCCCCAGCACTGGCCACAGCCGCGGCCCGAAGCTGGAGGGTCGCCAGCGGGAGACCCCGGTCCCCGCGGCCCCGGTCTGGGAGCTGAGACCGGCCGGGACTCCCCGGAGCAGAGCCGTCTAGTGCCGCCCCGGCGGCGGACTGCGGGGCGAGCCGGTGGAGCAGAAGACCCTCGGGGGAGGTAGCAGGTGGGCTCCGGCCAAGGGGGACCGGGTCGCCCCGGTCCTAGCCCGTGGGGTCGGGCCGTACGCCCAGCATCGGCTCCGGCAGCGCCGTCCCGGCGCACCGACGGCGGGCACCGAGGGTGTCTCCCGCCGGCCGGCATCTCCTAAAGACGAGGACACGATTTCGCTAGCCCCTAGGACGTGTTGGAACAACGTGTTGAACGATGTAAAGTCTTTTAAAAAAAGTAAAACGAGGGCTGTGCCGTTTCCACCACTCGCCCTTCGCCATCCTTCCTCCGGCCGCATCGCCCACCGACCCACCGGGAGCTTTCCTCCACGCACCGGGGAGAGAACCGAGCCCCCCTTCGCCCCTCCGGCCCGGGGACCTATCCCCGCCTGTCCCTTTGGGGTGATCTGCCCATTCCCTTTTCCTCTTGGTTTTTTTTTTTTTTCTCCCCGGGAACAACGGGGATCTCCC